TATTTTAGTAAGAAAATAAATTAAGAAATATATTTTATTTCTTACTTTTTTTAATAGCGTGATTTTCAAGGTAAATTAAGTATTATTTAAATTCTCTTTTATACATGTCTATATATTGTTAAGGGTTACTTTTTTTAAGGAAAAAATTTGTTTTATATTAAAATAAAAATAATTTTAAAAAATCTCCAACTGGCCTGTTGGGAATGCAATTCATATTCTTGAAAGCATCACCATTGGTTGATTTTTGATTGTTCTAAAGGCATCTGGATAGTGATTGGCTGAGGTTTGTTGGCATTATTTGTAGAGGATTTGTCCCTCACTGAACTGATAAATAGACCCTCACGTGTTGGCTGCTGCTGGCGGGAGAGCCTCTTCTCTAAAGCCCGCTGTCTGTTCAGCTCCATGCGTCGACGCTGCTCCTCCGATAGGGAGGGAGCGGCTGGGGAGGAATAAGGAGGGGACGATAGTGCGGGTTGGGAGGGCATAGTGGGAGGGGAGGCCATCGGAGGAGGGGCAGCAGGAGCTGGGGTGGAGTGGATCGGCCGTTGCAGGTCATTAAAGCCCGCCTCTTCAAAAGGATCTGGCTCCCTGAGGACGTCGTTTTCAGGAGCTTCTTCACCTGAACAAAGACACATGTTCACAGAAGAGTGGATGATTATACATGGACTTAAAAACCAAGACAACCATATGTTACCCTCTCAAAAGTTTGCATATGGCGCCAAAAGTCAATTTAACCAACAATTAGCTGGGGATTATTGTAATTCCGGACAATGTATATTAAATATCTAATGTTTCAGATCAATTTATGTTCCTTACCACCCATGAAGTCTTCGTATATCATTGGCATATCCAGTCGGATCCGTTTGAGGCATGTCTGCCGCAGAGAAGAAGAATTATTTTAGTCATTCTGCACTGACGAAAAAAGTACATCTCATAAATATATTCAGCAGCAACATCCTCATCCCACCTGCACGTCCTTCTTGTTGCCCAGCTTCTCCACTTTCTCAATAAAATCTTCAAACTGCATTTTGGGGTACAACCGGTGGGCCCAGTTCTCCATCTTCTGCATGAGCAGCCGCAGGTCCTCAGCCTGGGGGGACAGAACGTAGATAAAACATTATAATAAGTTGGATAAATGTATGTGATGTTATTAAATACATTCGATAAGAGCTACTCCGGAGTTTCCTGCTGCTTTGTCAGCTCTTACCTCCTTCCCTTTGCCTTTGAAACGGACGTTATCAAACAGTGTTCGCAGAGCTGGAAGTCCTCTTTCTGAGAGGAGCCTGTAGAAAAACAAATACTCAGTAACTTCCTCTATTACTAAAATATTGATTAGGGAAGCTCTAAGGTTAGATATCATTGAAAATAATAACACAAGCTCCAATAGGATCCTTTTCTGTAATCAATGCTGACTAAAATGATATTGGTATGTCATTATTTGCTGTAAGTGTAAAAGAATATTTGAAAACCTTTAAGAGTAGCTCAAATACAATAATAAAGCCTGTACCAAACACAATCATTTATTTCCCTACATTAAAAGTGCATGCTTTAATTACGGTTAGAAGGTAGGGCTGCATGATTTAAAAACAAACTACTGATTATGTTGACTGATAATGCAGTTGCAATATGATTTGCGATATTAGAGGGATAGATCATTATTCAAACATTATTCCCACCATCAGTGAAAAAGATATTGAAATGATCAAGGTGCAATTTTTTTAAGAGGATCCGTACAAAACAAGGATTTTTTATTAAATCTGCAGAATATGATTGGTAGGCCAGGATTTATCTGTAGCATCACAATGCTACATACGGACATTTTCACATACTATCGCGCTTAATACAATTTGGATAATGCACTAGGTAATATAATGATTTTTGATAGAATTTGTATGTGTTGCAGCCCTAGTTTGAGGAATCCTGGTGTTTAAACGTCCTAATGTCAGCCGACAGTACAATGAATCCTCTGCCTTGATGTAAACGCTCAGATGTCTGAGGTACCTCTGAGAGTCCAGCTTGGGTTGCGGTCTCTTTACTCCTTTCCTTTTAGCAGCAGGGACGTCCGCCAGCCCGGACACATCGCCGTCTCCGTCCCCTGCATCAAACACAGCAGAGGACCGGACAGGTGGTCAATATCCCTTTGTTGAACGTTACACAAGAGAACATTTTCAGCAGGGTAGATTTTAAGCTGTATTTTCAAATAAAGCCTTTCTATTCTTCTACTGGGGCTGTGGTTCGGAAGCTGCACAGCATCCAACCGCAAGACCCTGCAGCGCGTCGTGAACACTGCTGAGAGGATCCTCGGTGCCTCACTCCCATCACTCCTGGACATTTACAACACCCGCAGAGCACTCAGCATTGTGGGTGACCCCACCCATCCCTCCACCTGCCTCTTCCCCCTCCTGTTCCGCAGCCTGAGGTCGAGCACAACCAGACTGAAAAACAGCTTCGTCCACCAGGCTGTCAGGAGGCTGAACTCTCTCCCCCCTGCCCCCACTGGACCATGACTTTAACTCCCCACACACACTCAGACACTAAAATCCAGCACCAGACACTTTCCACGCTGCTATGGACAGTCTTGCACTAATGTGCATTTTTCACAGATTTAGAAGTGACTGTAGTAAATGTATCATTAAGTCTAATTTCAGATCCAGCCTCTAATTCTCACTTCCTTAGAACAGACAGAAGGCTGCCTCTTCGACCATTGATTTGTAATTAACATGTGTGCAAGTTTCAACCGTCTGGCCAACACTTCCTGTAATGTACATTTGCCTTGCTGAGAACCTTCCCCTTCCCTTGCTCTCGAGTGTATAAAGTATTTGTATTTTCTATTGTATGTTGTCAGATCTTGTACGAACCTTTTGGTGCAAGACTCTGTCCTTTCGGCTGAAATAGATTAACTATTGTCTTTATTAAATAACAAAACTTTGTTTTAAACTTCTATTATTTGTTCATTTCTTGCCAAACAGGTTGTTTAGGTTTTGTGTGGAATTTCCTCCACACACAGAAACTGAAAGATTGACAATAAAATGTGACTTTTGACTATTACCATTTGTATGTGTAGTGATGGGCATTTCAACTGTAAATAATTTTTGATTATCACTGGATTTTTTTTCCAGTCACGAGGTATAACCTGGCTTTACATTGGAATATTCTCTCGCTTCTCACCATTTCCAAAAGGGTCTCCGTTCTCTTGTCCTCCTGGGGAGTGAGGTGGTGGGAGCGGAGGGAAAGCTTCATCCTCTATGGTGTTGTAGTCAGGAATGTCAAACAGGCCGTCTTCCATGGTGGACAACTCTTGAAGGAAAGGTACAACCTGGGTCAGTCAAATATAGCTCTAAAAGCCATAATAGTTCAACGTATAAAATTGTGTTTTTTAAGAACATATCATTTCAAATGGGAAAATACATGATTCGTTTGGGTTTAAAATCCTGTGTCATATAAAACTCAATCAAAAAAATAAATAAATAAATAACTCAAATCCTATACTTGCGAACAACAATGACACACTTTTGGGTCTTCTTTATATCTACATTTGAGTTAAACATTGTTTTTTTTAATCCACTACATTATCTGTGCAGTACATAAACCTGCACACTGAATATACTGACTCAGAGGGTAAGTATATTTATTTATTTCACATCCCATTACAACCAGGCCTTGGCATGCAGTTTACATGATCAGATATGAGATTCTGTATAAAGTGTCTACTATTTGCATTACCTATAATTGCACTCAGCGTTACAGCATCGTATACCTAATACCTGCACTGTCAACTATGTTAATACAATTAATTGAATGTAACTAGTGTTACTTTTTCTACATCTTATTTAATTGGTATGTAATATGTACATTATTCTGCACTTAACTTTCAGCCTTCTGTATTTCTGATAAGATGCTTAACGGCATTCTTATCTTTTATATACATTTAAAAATATTTCCCAAAAAACATTTTAATAGCAGGTCCACCTCAACGAACTAGCTGCCTGCAACATAACAAATGCATCGTTATGTTATGAAGTGTTATTACACTGTGGTATCCAGTCATATATATTTAATAGCATTATTTCTGTAATTTATTTGCAAGGTGTCAAAATTAATGATAGTGCTGCAAGTTGTTATGGTTGTTATCTTCCATGTCTGCTTGACGTATCTCATATCCGGTATCGGTCATGAAAAACGGATATCAGTCGTTCAGAAGAAGGCGGTAAACTCAATCATGGCCCAAACACAGAAAGCGAAAACATTGCTAGTCCTGTGTGCTTCCCCGTCACATAACGAGGCCATTAGAAGATGTACAACATAGTGGACAGGGTATCCACTTATTTGTCGTAACGTCGTCATAACCTGACTTTAATTATAAGTAAAGTTTGTTACGTCAGTTGTAAAAGAGAGTAAACAGTGCGCTGTTACGCTATCGTTCATTAGAAGCTGATGAGATACTTTGGGTCAGTTAGCTAACATGTAAGCTTTAATTCATGTGAGTGAAATGGTAAAACATCAAAAGTTGACGTTAACCACAATTCACTAAAATAGTGAAAGCTTATGAATGACCGTGTCATAGTAAAGTTGTCTTACCAGTTAAGAGCTGTGCTGAGAGCGAGCAACATGCAATGACGAAAAGCTACTGCTAGCGATATCAACTTCCGGTTCTATAATGTTCCTTTTTCAACATAAAGATCCAACAGACAAGTAGATAATACTTACAAATTAGCACCAACAAAGGGCTATTCTGATGCGATTGAGACATGTAAAACCATTTTCAAGTTATACATTAGGAAGCATTTATTTTGAGCTTCAGTTTTCACCAATACAAATCAATTCATCACAATTATATGCATGCAGAAAAATATAATGAAATTGATATAGATTAGTTTGATATAAGTGAAAAAAGCTAATTTGTAATTGAAAGATAACTTTCAAAGTAGCAAAAATAAGAACAGGACTGGTTACATTCCTTTGCGTTTGTAATTTGGAGTGCATTTTGTTTGTGTGACTGTGGTTCGGTCATTTAAAAAAGGTTCTATATAATGTAAATCATAATCTATAAATATAATCACTATTTGATTTATACACCTGGGCCCAGGAGTTCAAAACTTTTAATCTCAATCAGATCCGATCAGATTTTGAAATCCCATTTTTTGTGATCCAGGATCAGACAAATCGGCCAAATGTTGTCCCTGGAGTTCAAAGCAATTCAGGATAGGATCAGCCTGATCCAGATTACGATTTTTCAAGATGACTAGATCCTGAATATCAGTGCTTTAATCCTACCGGTCGCCATCTAGTGGATATGAAAATAATACAAGGAAGACAAGAGACCACATTGCAGAGACATCTATAATGTCTAATTATATTTTTTTATTTGAAAGGTGATGACAGATGATGGACTTTTTTTTTGTTGAAGATATTTTTACTTTAATCTAAATTACATTTGTGATTGACAATCTTTGCTGTTACACTTTTATGAGCATCAACATTTATGTCATCAACATTTGGTTAGAAAAACAATAGGACCACCAACAAACATGAGACAAAAATGAAGAAAAATAAAATGTATTTCCCATGAAGGCTAACAATTGTGTATTATTTCAGTTAACAAACGTTGCCATCTTATTTAAATTGAAACATATTTTAAAATAAATTGTACAGTACATTTTGCTCTGGTAATCCACTGGAAATCCACCCCTCTGGTGGGATCAGGGTAATCCAGTTTTTTGGGATCAAACTGATCCCAATCCTGTGTTGTCGGTTTGAACTACCCGTTTTGAAGATTTGATCCAGATTAAAGCTTTGATTGGATTTCCTGATCTGATCGGATATAAAAGTCATCCTAATCCTGTTTTTTGGTTTTGAACTGCCCAAAATCTAAATCTGATCTGATCAGATAGGGATTAAAAGTTTTGAACTCCTGGGCCCAGGCGATTTGCAATATGTTGGTTTGGTTTCCCTCAGCTCATTATTAGAGTCCAGTTTCAGGGCTTTTATTTTGAAGGATAAAACACAGGAAATTGTTTATTTATTATTGACGCAATAATTAGCACATTTTATGTCTTAAACATGTATTTATTTGTATGATCAACAGCGAGTACAACAATACTGTATCTCCATCACTTTTTTTTAATTTGTTGACAGTAAACCTTCTTCTCTGCAGTTAGATTGAGTAGCCTACAAAACTAAGCTACATCAAAAAACACACAAGACCAGTTTATTAAAACATTTTCAAAATAGTCATAATATACCAAGCTTGAATCAATGTTTCCAAAGTTGTGACAGGTACCGGCTATTTAAACTAAATACTGACAACCCAAAAACGTTTTTATTCAAAACAGAAAAGCAGGACAGTTAAATCAACAAAATGCTCTCGACAGGATAAAGTTTCACAGCTTTGAAGGCACTCTCAGATGTGTGTGTGTGTGTGTGTGTGTGTGTGTGTGTGTGTGTGCGTGCGTGCGTGCGTGCGTGCGTGCGTGTGTGCTTGCGTGTGTGTGTGTGTTCTTTTAGATGCGTCCACGCAGCAGGAACATGAGGAACACTGCACTGAGGAGGATGCATAGTGTGCTCACAGTGGGAATCACGATTTCTGATACCATCTCCATGTGACCTATCAAGGGATCTGAAACACATACATGGAAATGTAAGTCAATTTTCTAATCACAGAAAAAGGGTGCATAACAGGAAAGTAATTTCTCTCTTTACATGTGAGGGTAATAATCCAAAACCTATATTTGGCTGTTTGACTTAAGTCTTAGATTATATGTGAAATAACACAAGTCCTTAAAAGTTTCATTTTTGTCAGTAAAATGTAGAGAACTGAAATATACATGAAGTGGCGTCGAGTAGAGGTATAAAACAGCATTGCATAATAATAAAAAACATTGTAATCTTACTCAGAAACAACTTTTGTACCTAAACTTCATCATGCACTGGCCAAGCCTTTTCCTGATTTCCCTGGGACTTTCTTTTAGCTGGAGGGGCGAAACAAAGAAAAACTCTGTTAGAGAGCGGAATAACAAGCTTTTTTTTCTTTGTTTTTCCCCACCCAGCTTTAGCACAGCCTACACTTTATAATGTTGTATTGTACTAACCTGCAGCCAGGAGCTGGTTACTGGAAGCACAAGTCTCTACGGCTTTCCTTTTCCAGCTCTCCACCTGTGAAGATCCAACAAACAGATAAACTTGTTGTGCTCCAGACAGACTTTGAACGTTTAGTCTGTTGTTGGAGTTTACCTCTCTCTGATTGGGAAAGCCATTGGAGCTGATGATGCGTTTATAGAACTGGACAGAGGCCTTGGGGTAGCGTGGTTTATTTTTGTTGCTGAAGTCCACGTAGTAGAGTCCAAATCTCTCTGAGAATCCTTCATCCCACTCAAAGTTGTCCAGGAGAGACCAAGCTGTGTAGCCCTTCACATTGACGCCATCCTTGACCGCTGTTAGTAAAACCATGGAAACGTAAAAATACAAAACAGGTGACATGTTTAATTTTACTTGGCCACTATTATTAGTATAATGTACGGACCAGACAGTGTTTAGTAGAGCTGTTATTTTACCTTTGAGCATCTCATTAATGTAGTCTTTAAAGTACTGCATTCTCCAGTCATCACAGAGGTCGGTGCAGACCATTTTTTCCGAGACACCATTTTCTGTCACGTATACCATGGGGTTTCCATACTGAGTCTATTAGAGAGACACCATTATACATAAGAATAGAATACATACTGAACCTTTTGTACTTGTGTTTTATTGTACAAAATATGTTATACTGGCATGATGCAATGTGACAAATGTTCAGGCTTAAATGAGAAGATGAATACCATTCATGACTGTGTGTGTTAACTGTAGAGCTCGAGCTAGGAGATTAGCTTAGCATACAGACAGAAAACAGAGGGAAACAGCCAGGAGTGCTAGGGGCATGATTAACTGTTGTGTGCCACACATTATTATTTGTTTTTATTTGTATGTAATTGTTGCAACTAAACTAACACGACAAACAAAATCATTGAGCTTAAAAGTTGTTAGTAATTGTATTTTTGAACTTCTGAGCTAGATGATTTCCCTTACTTCATACTCTGCTCTACTTTATAGCTAACATACAAACATGAGTTTGGTATCACTCTTCTCAATCAAATTAAGCTTATCTCTAATTATTTATTAAGGAAACATTTCAGTATTTAAAATCCATCTATTGCTTTTTCAAACATGGTTAAGCCCTTTATAATGTGTCTCTAAATTGATCAGTTGACTTTAGACCACTGTGAATCCTCAACTTGCAGCACTGTGACAGCCTATGACTACACTGTAGCTATGTTCGTATGACAAATAAAGAACCTTGAACCTTGAACTTACATGGCATTTTTGTCGTAATTTCTGAGATTAATCAATTTAACATCTAGCATCACTCCATTTTCTGCCTATATTATACAGCTGTATGTCTGGATTTGATTCAAATGTTTGTTGCATACCTTGACAAAGTTCAACATGCGCCGGAAGCCCCAGGGAACAGAATAGAGCCACTCAGAGCCTGGATCAGGCCATTTTGGGTCAACCAGCTCAGCAAGGTCACGATCTGCAAAGTAGCTGTCTCCCAGCCCAGATGGGTAGTTCTTCGGGGTGATGTAGCGAGTAGTGAAATGTCCGAGGCCTAGGAAGTCGCAGGTTCCCTTGATGTAACTCTTCTCCTGAGGCGAGAAGACGGGCAGCCGTGAAGCTCCCAGTCCCTGCTGGCCACTTTTCCTACCTAAAGGTCGAAATTCATCGAGTTTAATACTGAAACTAAAATGACAACAGACAAAAAAAGGTGCCAACAAGCTAACGAACATTTTAGTTTGAAGCCAAATAACAGATGCTTTCATGTTTCTAGTGTGTAGTGTCTCCTATAAACAGTTGCAGTTGACCGTGACGCACCGATGTAATCTTTCATAACCTGGGGGTAGTCTCCATTGAAGATGGGGGTAGCGAACCATCCCAGGTAGAACTGGATGTATCTCTCCGCTGCTTCAATGTCCCTCTGGTTGGTGATGTCCACTGGTTCACCCCAGTCAGCCGTTAGCGAGATACCAACCATGCCTGGACACACCAAACACATACAGCATGATGCCAAATTAACTTTGACTTTGATGACCATAAATACCAAAATGAAAACAAAATTGTGCTGTCACCTTTTTGTTTGCTTCGCCATTGCATGTCATACGTGTGCCAAACTTTAGCATGTGCCTGTTTCAGAGACAGAAAGGCAGCGTCAGCTTTATGTCGGTCTAAGATCTCTATATCAACTAATTAGTTTCAAACTTGTGATTTACTAAATCAGGTTGCACCATAAGAAAACCTGAAAAAATTATTCTCAGCTTGTAAAAGTGTAAACCAATTGCAAGAAAACATTTGTAACGCTGGCCAAACAACGGGCAAAGAACTATGTACAGTAAACATGACTAAAGTCTCACAAAGTACAGTAGTGTTGGTCATATTTCAATTAGCATACAAGGAGAAAGGAACACAAAGTATCATCTCTTGAGTCTTACCTTGATGATGTGATGGGCAGCTTTGTAAGCTCCGGTTCCCTTCAGCTTCATTCCTGGTGCATGTTCCCCTGTTTCATATCCCTCCACAGCAATAGACTGAGAACACAAGACAACACTCTCCGTTATCCAAGTCAAACACAAAAATGTTTCACAACGACAGTCAATCCACCATTTCCCTCCAACCCGGACATACCCAGGGATTGTTGAACGTGATCCAGTATTTCACTTTGTGTCCAAATCTTTCAAAGCACAAGTTAGCAAAGTCGTTGAAGTAGTTCACCATGGTGACGTTCTGCCACCCACCATACTTCTCCTGTAAGAGCTAGGGAGCAAAGACATCTTAGCTTCTACGGCGTGGCTTAAAATCTGTACATTTGAAAGGTTTAGTGAGTTTAGGGCCCACCTGCGGTAAATCCCAGTGATACAAAATAACAATGGGAGTGATCTTATTGTCCAGCAGCATGTTAATCAGGTCTTCATAGTATTTGATTCCTTTCTCGTTGATGTGTTCACCTGAGAGAGTAGCAAGTAAAATAATATATATGAACAATTTTACGAGAAATAGCAAGACAATTATCATTACAACGATCAAACCTCCAAAAGTAAAGAGCACAGAAAAAGCAAAGCTGAAAGCCGGAAAATGAATTTTGATAACATTCTGATAATTCATTACTTCAATACATTGGAGCACTGATTTTAATAATCAGTAAATAAATACAAAATAATAGAAAAAAATATGGCATTCCACAACAGTGGAAAAATATGAAAAATAAGAAATTGTGGAAAACGAGGGAATAAATTGAAATAAGAAAGGCCAGGCTCATGGTTACTTTTCAGTCCGCTTGGTAAAATCCTTGGCCAGGAGATGGAGAAACGATAGTGATTTAGCTTCATGTCCTTCATCAAGGTGATGTCATCCTAAGAAAACAACGAGTACCATTTTTAAATATCATGCAGTGCAGTCAAACATTATTCACAGCCTCAGAACTTAATTTTAAGGAAAAGTTCGACATTTTTTGAAATATATTTATTGCTTTCTTGCCGAAAGTTAGAGAACTTTGCGACCACTCTGCAGCCAGGGTTAGCTTAGCTTAGCACAATGAAAGGAAAAAGAGGGGAAAAGCTAGCTCTTGTTTCATTTAGCTTTCCTAAAAAGGTTCTGGAAGGCAGATTTATTTTGTTTTCAGATAGTCCTGGCTAGCAGCTTGACACTGTTTCTTGTCTTAATGCTTACTCAGCTAAACGCTTCTTGGCTATAGCCTAATATTTACCATACAGAGATGAAAGGGATATCAATCTGCTTACAAGGTTTCGGAGATACCAAATGAGAATATGTATCTTAAATGATAAACAAAGACATTTAGAAAATTCAAAAGTTGGTACAACCATAATACAAATGGATCTTAATCTTAGATATACATATTATGTAAAAAGGTACAAATCTAAGAGATTAAAGAGAAAATAATGTCAGACAGATCATTTTTCTACCCAGATTTTTCTGATGTTACATCTAAAGGTAAGACTTAATGTTTAGCACTTCAACTAATGTGTGTAACAAAAACAACACTTATTTACTGGAAGCAGATGCTCCCTCGGCATGTCACCTTGAATTTGTTGTAGCCGTCACACGATGTGTCTCCAGTGTCATTCAGGAATATTTTCCCCTTCTTGCGGGTGAATGCATCCCAGATGCTCATTCCTTTGCCATCTATGTTCCACGCTCCTTCAGTCTGATAGGCGGAGCTGCCAGCTCCCCAGGAGAAACCTGCAGAGGACACAATACATGTCAGCATCAGAATTGGTTTTATTAACAATTACACATATGATAAATTTGCTTTGGTATAAGTGGTGCATACATAAACACAGAAAGAAGTATACGTAATAAAAATGTTTAAGACTATTGTAACAAATGAAAAGTAAAGACAATATTTACACAAAATATATAGAATAAAATATAATAAGAAATGACAATACTATGTACTATGTTCAAAGTGGGGAGCTGTTAATATTTATGCAGCATATAGTACCAAGTTTTCCATGACTATAGTGCAGGTTTCGTCTTACCAGTTGGGAAGGTGCTGTAGTAGAAAGATGTTTTTTCATTCTTGGTCCAGTCAAAGTCCTCCCTGGCTGACACACACAGCACCAAAGCAAACACATGGTACGTCCTCAGGATGCACCGCTGCAGCATTGTGATCTTTGGCAAGAAACTCTCTCTTTTTTTACACCTGGAGGAAAAAATCAGTATGTTTGATCTCTGATTTCACAGATATCATTGCTTACACGTAGGCCAAAGGCAACATCTGCTGTCATATCCTGTTCCTGTACAACGATTGAGAAACTCACTCAAGGCTTCAGGTGTCCACAGGTTACCATTCTAACATAAACCCCAAACCTGAGTATCATTTCTTAAAGATCCACTGAAAACACACCCGTCATTATCAGAACTCTAAGATATAAAATAAGAATCTAGTTTCATTTCAGCCAGCTGTAAGACACACTGACACAGAAGGCTATCACAGACAGGAATTTAGCCAGCTTGTTCAGCACGGTCAGGATGAGCGACATTTCAAGCTTCTGTAAATCTCCAGTGGTGTGAAAGATAACCAAGATGAGGGTTACAAAGTGTGAAGTTCCCTGAGAGTCCTCCTGCCAAAGCCTGTCCTGTTTCTCTGCCTACATGTGTCCCTTTGCCCAGCCTTTCTCAGCCTCAGCCCCTCTCTCAGAACCACATATAGATGTCTGACCTGCGGCACGTCCTGCATTTGTCTCCGCTGGAAACTGCTCCAAAGTGCAAGAAACATCCCCAAGCTTCTGGACCTAGTTAATGCCGCCCAGTGTCACCGGCAGGTTCAGAGCCAATGTTACAAAAACAAAACCGAGTGAATAATCCAGGGACATTTTCTGCTATTCATCAGCCCCCATACAGAGACTCCCCCTCCCCTATCCCATCCACATGCACTCTGAATACCGCTCCATTTGAAGTCAGTGAGGTGTAACAGTGAATTTGCTGGGGCCAACAGATCTTTTAGAAAAGGAGGTGATTCTGACCCTGTAAGCAGAGTTAATGTCAGTGAACCTGATACAGTGGCAGCTTGGTGTCACACTTTATTTTGTTTGACTTGTTAATGTCTCAATGTTTAGAGCAGAAACCTTTAATGAGGACAAATGTCTGTTTGTGTTTTTCTTCACATTTTTTACTCATTTGGCCCTAATCCACATAAAGTATTAGTGAATAAAAGATATAGATTTTAATTTTGAAAGATATTTTCACATACTATACTTTAATTAAATATAATCTATTACAATAGAACTTCAAATAATTACTTTCTATGATGTTTAAAATGTATTCTTTTTAAACAAAATGAAGTTACTGGATTCCTCCAGACTTATCAAATAAATGAGTCGTGTGGAGTCAATGCACCTACATAGTTATGTTCATTGTACACCTTTTAAAAATCCTGTACAACAGTGCAATCTGAATGAAAGAGTTATTCATTATTATTACATTATTATTGTGTTCTTCAGGACACACCAATCTTCTTAAGAAAAATGTGTTGTGTATCTTTCATTATAAAGTCAGTGTTATCAGACCAATGAGAGACACATTAAAAGTGTATGCTCAAGGTTTGAAGACTGTCCGCCCTCAGCTAATGACTGGAGTGTAGTTGGAACATTAACAATCCCGTATGTACTTTGCAGCATAAAATAGTAATAAGAAATATTAACATAAACTATATACCCATCTTACTAAATATGCTAATTTGCATACATTTCTGGATCAGAAATCTACAGTTGGTATTTTGGCTATCACTTTTTAACACACAAAAAGATCAATCTTTGGTGTGTTTTTAAGGAAGAAAATGTGATTAGAATCAGATGAATAAACATCTCTGTCAAAAAATATTGAATATAGATAGGAATGAAACTAGAGAGTTTGGTGCATGTAAGTGCATTAAAGTACTTACTTATAACTAATAGATATCACCAGGAAACCTCTCCCTTGGATTACTTGCGTTCAGACAAGTATTATAAGTTTTTGAAGTTTTGTGTTTAAACATGCAAATTAGGCATTATCCTGCTAACTTTTGGTAAATGTAGGCGGTATCTTCAGATGCAAATGGAAAGGTAAAACAATTTTAGCCTACAATTTCTCCTCTTAAGATGTTCCTCCTCTAAACGTCTCTACGTCTACAACTGACTTAAGTCTAAAAGAATATCTAATCACACAATATGTCTGATTTGTGTCTCCACCACATCAGTGGAGCCGTCAGAGTGGAAAAGTCTAAAACTGTTCTGTCCGTGAGTCCCCCCCCAGCTCAAGGTCACGACCTCTACACTGAATACGGTTTGCTGGAGCTGGCCATGCACAAAGCATGAATACAACCATTATCATAAAGCGCATTGTTTAAAGGGCATTGTCGTTTAAAACGCTGAATTGTTCAAAGCCAAAACTGTTGGCACTGCACTCTCATATTTACATGTGTGTGTGTGTGTGTGTGTGTGTGTGTGTGTGTGTGTGTGTGTGTGTGTGTGTGTGTGTGTGTGTGTGTGTGTGTGTGTGTGTGTGTGTAGAAACTCTGTTCTCTATACTAGTGTTTGTGTATCTGCATGAACACATCTATTTCTATTGCTGGCCAAATGTGTGTTTGTATGTCTAATTGTCCTCTGCATGCCGTGTTTGCAGCTGTGTGTGTGTGACAACAGAGAACATGACTGTGTTTGTGTGTTTAGCATATCAATGGACTGCTGCAGAACCCCTCTGTGTTCTAGCACCTGTGGGCTCAGCTCACCTGGCTGTATTTAAGGGGCTTTCTTGTTGCGTCACAGAGCTGACATGAACATCTTCACTAAAGTCCAAGGATTAGCCCAACAAACCAGGTATGTCCAGAGCGCCGTGCACCAGACCCAAAGAGCCCCCTGCTCAGAGGTGTTGGGGTGGGGGGGGGCCCATGGCTCCACGTCCCACCTGCTGCTGGTTCTCAGGCTATACCAGTTTCCCAAAATCACCCGATTTTGTGATGTGATCATGGCAGGAGACATGCACACATTCTGCACAGTGTAGTTTCAAATTGAAAAGCATGAAAATACTTCTAATTCCTTATTGGTTACAATCTGTAGCACTTCAGTGTTTCTTGACCAAAGTGACATAAATGATGACATTTCAGTAGCTCAGGTCTTTAGTTTTACCTCAACACACTTTCATGTTTTTATTAAGTTACTCTGTTATTTCTTTATCATCTGTTTTTAATTATGGTGTAGAGTGTTTGGGGGAGTAATTATTCACTATAAAACCTTCTATATCTACAGCAAGCTGGGGTCTGTACTCCAACGTGCCTTCTACGGGTCCAGTGGGAGGGTGAGTTACATGTTGCTATTAACTGATGAAGTGTCATTTACCTGTTTAGTGTTGTTTAGTATAATGTAAAACATATATCATTTTCTGTGGGGACCTCTTGGCTGACGAAGAATAGCTTTAATTATCTTATTTATTACTTAAAGCTATGTAACTTAGCATAGCTCACTAGTTATTTTCAATGTTGTGGTTTAGTTTCCAGAAACTCACTGCTCTCAGCTGTGGTTCACAAAGAAATATCTACTGCATTATATTTAGCACATCAGTTTACTGTAAACCAAATATGTTAGTTATTTAATATTGTGTATTCCTTTACATATACTTTGGAAGCTTTGTAATTGGTTACTAATTTTGAATCTGACCATTTGAGAATATAACCCATCATTTTATCTTTTCTTAAGATTTACATGTTCCCTCCCAATCAGAACAACAAATGATATAAATTCATCATGGCTTATTGTAGTATTTGGTGTCAAAATGTTCAAAACGTTAAGGAAAAAACCTTATAGTGTGACTGAAGTGGTCATAGAGTTTTTTCCACAAGTGGAAATGTGCAACCCAACATAGTAAACAAAAGAAAATGTAAGCTTCATACTTGGGAGGCGATGAACATCTGAGTGCTGATGTTTAACTTTAATACAATGTGTTTCCCGTGGTGTCTGTGCCCTCAGGTGACCCTTTTCGAGCAGAGGAACTTCGCCGGCAGGCGTTTGGACCTCAGCTCTGACTGTGCCAGGCTCAGTGACAAGAGCTTCCCAGAGAGATGTAACTCTGTGCAGGTGGAGAGCGGAGCGTAAGTTTGCAGCCCCACCTACAGCACACCACAGGTCACTGCAACACACACAGGAGTCCACAGGGGAAAAGGACAGAAACAGATAACAGCAGTCTGTCAGCGGACCTCAATACAGTGAATGGGTTTTTTAATACACCTTTTTTCAACTTTTAAATAGTGAAACTCCAGAAGTGTAGGAGTAGACTTCGTTTGTTATAGTTCAGATGGGAGCCTACAAATATGGAAACACTCAGATCTTGTAATTGAGTAAAAGTAGAAGTACCAGAGTGTAGGAATATTCTGTAACAAGAAAAACTCCTGCATTCAAAATGTTACTCAAGTAAAAGTAGAAAAGCATTTGCATCAAAATATACTTAAAGTACCAAAAGTAAAAGTAGTCATTATGCAGATTGGCCCATTTCAGAATAATATATATTATATGTTTTGATTATAATTATTGATGCATTAAAGTGTTCTCAAAGCTGGTAAAGGTGCAGCTAGTTTTAATGACTTTATACTGCAGGGTATTTACTCCAGGTGTAACTAAAGACTGATTTAAGAGTTGATTATATTTCACATCATTAAACCAAATCTGTAAAGTAACTAGTCTGCGAGCTGTGTTTTTGACTGACTCCCTCTCCTCTGAAGATGGATCGGCTACGAGCATGAGAACTTCCGCGGCCGTCAGTACCTGTGGGACATGTCCGAGAGGGGAGAGTACAACTGCTACGACAAGTGGTCCGCCCAGGTGGACCACGTCTCCTCTGTCCGTGCTGTCAAACAGGTGAGACATGAAGCTAAAACACACGTTACAGTACGTACAGTTAGTCCAGGTGAAGAGGAATACACTCTGAGACCTGGACTGGATGTGTGCACACTGCAGCTCACGTTTAATCCTCTAAAGTCATATCTACTGCATCAGTAAGTGCTATTTCTGTTATTCCCATGCATTATTCAAAGCTTAACGCATCAAAATAATCTCTAAAATATAAAGATTTGGATCTTCAAACCCTGTAGAAGTAATTTTTGAATCTGACATTTTACATTTTTCTTTTGTTGGACAGATTTGAGATATTAGTGGTGTGTAGTTATTTGCAACATGTGTGGACATTGATTAAATATGTCATGGGTACCTACAGTAAATGTTAGAAAACTGACATAAATAAATGTAAATGACTTAACTACTGAAAAACTAGAAAGTCAGGTCATTTAAAAAAACAAAACAAGAGGAAAATAAGTAACTTGTAGTTATGTATTGGGGGCTTTGATTTACTTCAGGTTCCCCTAAATACACATTACCACCTTGTATCTATAGACACCCACCCAGTTGGCATTTCATTGGCACTCTGTGTGTTTGTTATTTCAGGACAACAATCCTGGCAAGGCTCATCTGTTTGAGCGTGCCGGTTTCTCCGGTAAGAAGATGGAGATCCAGGATGACATCCCCAACCTGATGAGCCGCTACAGCCTCAACAGGGTCGCCTCCATCCGCGTGCTCGGAGGAGCGTAAGTACAACAACCTATTTATATATCCTCTGTGACTTCTCCAATCAAGTCTGTTTGGACTTGGAACATTTCACCCCAAAAACATAACACATTTGTTCTCATTCCGGTAGTGTGATATTCTTTTGGTATGCGTTAATTATAGAAGATGGCACTTGGCTTGTGGTGCCCAAAAATCATGACCTGGTTACTCAAGTTAACCCACAGACCTTGTTATCAGCGGTTTAATTTAGAAACTATTTTCTTTCAAACAAACTACACCCCACAGTGAAATGGCCGGGCCTATGTGCTATAATACAGACAGTGGCCATAGTTTGGCATAAAGAAGACAGTTCCTTACTCCTTACTTGCTCCTTAAGTAAGGTTGGAATCCTCTTGAGGAACTGGGTCAGGATTTGTGAATTTCCCCATTTTTTTGTTGTGCATAAATCCAGTGCCCTCTAGTTCCAATATCCAAGATAAAGGTGTACACCTCCTAAACACAACACATCTAGATAAATAGCAATTGTGTCAAGCGAAATATGCATTTTATTTTGAGTGAATCGCCCCTTTAATGTCAACAGCTGCTCCCGTTTGAAGCTTTCAATTAGATTTTAAAGCTAGCTTGGGTCAATAACTAATGACAGAAAATCAGAAGCAGTAATTCTAGATGACATTACACGCAATGCTTTGAGTAGATGCATTCAGAAAAAAATTAACGTGTTTTTTTAAATGACTAACCCTTCTGTTTGCAGTTGGGTGTGCTATCAGGAGCCCAACTACAGAGGGCCTCACTACATCCTGGAGAAGCGCGACTACAACAACTTCTCAGACTGGGGCAGCCAGAACAGCACCGTGGGCTCCATGCGCAGAGTCCGCTTCACCTGAACAACTGACCCGAGTCCTGCCCACAGGACTCCTTAAGTCAATATGAAACCTGTCAGCTTCACACACACACAGCAGAACCTATTTGACTAATAAACTGGTTAAAAATAAATAAAAAAAAGAAGTTTGCATTTTCATTTAAAGGTTTAATAATTTTGAAATGGTTGCAAATAAATATAAATGTTAGTGGGGATTCACCAACACGTTCATATAAATATTAGTTACTAAACAAAAACCTAATGGATTAACAAATCCATACATCAGCCAGCTGTCATTATGAAACATGTACAAAAATGAAAATACAACCTCAGCCATTTAAAACCTCTTTAGTTAAAAAAAAAAGAGTAAATACTGTTATATCCAACATAACACATACAAAAAAAGCATGATAAAACAGTAATTATCTTAAAGTGTCTTCAAATGTTTTTTAAGAAAGCAAAAACACAATACTCATGAGGTAGACTTAAGAAATCAGATGGTAAACAAACTAGAAAGAACAATCTCGTTGCACACAACTTCTGATTGGAAGCGATGCATCATCTAAACGCTAGCTTGGAACTGCAGTTCAAGGTGCATTGGAGGAACATCTGATGTACCGTAAAGAGTTTCGTCAAAACATCATCCGTGTAAAAACAGTGGCTAAAATTCTGAAATTTGCGCAAAAATAAAATCATTTGAAGTGTAGTTTCCACAGATTGCAATCAATCTTAAATAAAGTGCAAGTGAAACGTCCACTGATCTAAAAGTTCTCAAGGATTGCCGAGCAGAGCGGCTGCCATGGTCTTGACGATGGCCGAGTTCAGATGAGGGATGAGGCTGATCTTCATCAGCTTGCTGCTCGAGTACTTGTTCTTCACAGCCTGCAGAGGAAAAAGGGTTTTATTTTTGCTACAAATCAAAACTTTAATGCTTATACTTGGTCGTTCAACTCACCATGAACTTTGTCTTCCCCTCGTTGACCATCACTATGTTTTTGGCGATGTGCTGCATGATGGGCTTCAAATGGGTGGCGTCATAAGTGGAGTAGTGTTGCTGCTGAGGAGACTGAGACAAGACAGAAAAATTACCACCAGGAAAATTAAACATTTTAAGTGTAGATGCCCCTCAAATGCCATCACTCACCCAGGGCAGGGCTACCAGCAGCAGCTGGGAGAGCGCCAGAGAAGCAGCAGCGATCTCAGAGGGCCGATAGTGCACCATGTTGTAGTCAAGAAGCGTCAACTCCATCAGGTACTTGGCCAGCGTGTGTCTCTCTACATCAGACTGAGGCACAACCATCCAAACCAGTGAAATCTCATTAATTTTTTTACAAAATCTCAAAGATTGTTTATAGTATTCGTTCCCGTAGGACAAATCTAGAATTAATGAGTTCTTTAAATTACCTAATCAATTAAAATTAAAATACATTTAAAAAAAAAGCCATCACTGGTAGCTCTTTATGCAAGGTCAAACTGAGAACACGCAGTGAAATGATTGATAGATACTGTAGCTCTACACTAGCATTGTCCAATATAAGTCCTTAAACATTGCCCAGACAATATTGCAGTGGTAAACGTTTACAAGAACCTACGTTTCCCACTTTGGAAGCCCGTCTCAGGAAGTGGAGAGGAAGAGGGCGTCCCAGCTCAAAGTTGAGGGCCCTCAGAATCAGCTGCTCCATCACCAGAATCTGAGCCTTTGTGAAGGCGTTGTCTGTGATGTAGGCGAAGTCTCCCACC